GAAAAATATTTTACTCTGTGATTGTCTCATTTTAATCAACTGTTCCAGTCTGTTTCCTCTTCTGCCTCTTTAAGTTAGTGAGGGCATTAAGACAACAAGTAAAAACAAAGAAATAAAATACCAAAGCCAAAAATGTCTGTTAATATGAAAAGAAAAAAAAATGAAATTTGGGACAGCAACAATACAAAAGTAAATGGGACAGACCATGGAAGAGAAGTGAGAATCAAAGCAGAGTAAAATTTGACAACTTCAAGGACAGTGAGTAAATAAGTAAAGAAAAGTGGGCTGAGGTTTGTTTTATGTTTATTACGGTAAGCACATAGTAAATGGCTGATGGATAAGATAAAGGGAATGGTGGTGTCAAAGGCTAACTCAGAAGTTCTCTGTCTCTAATACATATAAGAACTACCTGAAGTGTTTGCTTAAAAGACTGAGCCCTTAGTCTTTATCACCAGAAATTCCAATTCACCCACTGAGTTAGGGAGGGCCCTGAAATAACTACCTTGAGGAACCCTGAGCTACAACTATTGAGGTTCTTAAAAGGGAGAAAACAGCACCAAGATAAAGAAATCTAGAGAAGAAGAAAAAAAAATAGGAAAGGGGGATCGGCAATGGAAATCAGGGAAGAAAGGAAAGGAAACTAGAAAGTAAACATGTAACTCAAGTAAAAGAATGGTTTAGAAGCAGCATAAGGGTTTGTGTGGGTGTGTGAAAAAAGACAAGCCAAGACTGGTCAGAGGTAATAAATCAAGATGAGAAAGTCAATATATTCAGTGACTTAAGACTTTTTAAAACATTTTTTTAAATAATGTGCATTACATTTTTTCCCTTTAAAAAAGTAACGTGCTTATTGTGGGAGAGTTGAAAAATAAGAAAGGGAAAAGGAAACTGAACTCTTCATTTGCCACTTATGAATACTTGCTAGTAACATTTTGGTATATTTTCTGCTAGTCTTTGTTTCTTAGTTTTTAGAAGGTTTCATTTGTTTTATATAGCTGAGATAATTCTGTATATGCCATTAAATATCCTGCATCTAATAGCATTTCCTAACATGTGGATATTAGTGGAAAGTTTATTTTTAACATCTGCCTAATATCAACAATAGCTACTTCTCTGCTAACAGAACTCAGGTTTTTCTTTTCAGGTAGTCATGGGCTTCAGGGAAGGCTGACTCCATTTCCATTAACAGAAAGGGATTTTTATGTAGTGTTAGTCAATCATGATATAACTATTTTCCTTTTTTAGTAATTGACTCGGAAAGGGGCAAATGGCTTACTTCTACCCAATAAGATATAATGACAGGTCCACAAGTTGGATTTATGAAAGAGATTCTTAGTTCTTAAAAAGTGAAACAAGGAAGAAATCATCCCTTTTTCTGCCTATGGAATGTGTGTGAGAAGGAAACAGTGGTGCTGGTGATTGGAGCTTGTGCAGCCATCTTGTGGCCATGAAGGGAGCCCTAGTCCACACATTGAAGACAGACAAATAGAAAAGTGGGAAGAACTGGGTCCTAAATGATTTTGTTACTACAGTGAATTATGATTCCCTAGACCCTACCTTGAGACTTCTTGTCATGTGGGAAGATAAATCCCCTGTTGTTGAAGCCCCCTAGAGTTTTCTGTTTCTTGAAGTAGAAAGCAACCTAACAGACATAATTTACTTAATAATCTTCTCTTTGTAGGCTATTTAAGTTAGTTACAGTTTTTCACTATCAGTTTTTGCTTTGGATAGTTTCAAGAATAGATATCTTAGATATTAAGGTAATTTGTGTAGGGAAGTGGGAAAACTCCAATTAGTAATAAAAAGAAAGAAAGAAAGAAAGAAAGAGAAATGACCTTGAAATACCTCAGGCCATCAAGGCTGAATCATTCTGAATCTCCACTCCCTTTGTTGCTTATTGCTGTCAACAGTGGTGGTTACCAATGACAAGTCACAATTTAGGAGGAAGAATTGAGAAATATAGTCTCAATCTAATAAACCACTAAAGGTGAACACAAATAATCCTCCAAAATGCAAAGGCCCTTCTGTTTGCAATGTGTTACATGGTTCTCTTTCCTCATTACAGTAATATTAAAATTATTTCGTAATAAGAAAAGCAACTCTGTGCCAATATTCTGCTTTTATTAAAAGTCGCTGTCATTTCTACACAGTGTTTAATCTAATTGCGTCATCAGCCATGTTGACTATGTTCCGTAACTACTTCCCAGGTGCCTTCCAGGGGTAGGCTCCCCCACCCCCAGAATAAAGTTGCAGCGGGAGAGTCTGATTGAACATTACTTAAGTGAGGTATCTCTTATCTATGCTAACGTCTAAAAAATTAACAGGAGAAATTTCCAGTAACTGACCTTGGTTTTATCACTGGAGGTTATTGGGCCTATTTATAATTTGTGACTAGATTTGTTGATTTTAGAAATATTTAGTTGTCCCCAAATCAGGATTTAGAAAGGTCTCCTCCTGTAAAAAAGGATATACCTGTGTAAAACAGCCATTTTAATGACTACAGTTATAAGGCTCTAGTGTTACAATGACTGACATTTTAAGAGTTGTATCGGTAGGATCACTTAACACAACATTCATAATTTTACAAAACAATTGATTACAATATAGTTCATTTTTTTAGAAATTATTTTTTAAAAGCTTATACATAAATGATGACTTATAGAGTAACTCTTAACTGTTATTCATGAAGTTCATTGGTACTGTGGTTATTACTTATAATATTCCCTCTTCCTGGTCTCTTGCCAAGAGTTTTGATTCATAAATTGACTATGGCAGGGGATGTAAGGAAAACACAGGCTAATCTAAAACTCAGAAACCCCCCTAGCAGATCAATATTCTAAGATACAAGATATTATTGTCCCTGTGATGTCTCATAAATTTGCTCATGCAAGAGTCATTTCCTCTATACTGAGACATTCTAAAGAAAAAGAAAACAAAATCCAGAATTGGAGAGGAATCCACTGCTAAAGTTCACCTGAAATCATGAAGAATGTATGGAGTCTCTAGAACAGAAGCTAGATCCTTTCTGGGCCTAGATCAATTACTGGATTTAAGGACTATTACATTAAGCTCTACCATAGATTTTTAAATCACCTTAGTAGTCAAGATTTTTAAAACGTGCCACTGGATACAGCAAGGTGGAAACATAATAAAAACCAGTGGAACCTGGCACAGGGTTTGTTACCAAAAAGCATATAATAAGCATTTATTAAACAAATGAAAAAAGATATAAGCTCTAAATAAATTAACTAACTTTTGAAACAGCATCTATATGGGAAGAGGAATTGCTTTCTTCACATTTTCTTCTGTCCTTCTGCTTTCACTTCTGATTCTCAATTTTTCAACTAAAATAAATGGAGAAAAAGAGCATTTTGGTTATATACTTATGCATCCTGTGGTGGGAACCTCAAGAATATGCCTGCAGCTTGAAAGCAAGCAAGGGTCATTCTTTGATAGTTCCACTGAACCCTGTGCAATGGAACTGTGACACTTGAGTCTGAGTAGGTGGTAAAAGCCTGCAGGATTAGGGGAGTTCTAGGGACAGTCAATGTGTAACCCATCCCTAAAGGATTCAAATATTCTATATCAAAGCAAGCAGTATCTTAAGAGAGTAGGGGTAGGGGATGTCACTGTGTTAATTCTGTACAAACCAAAGAAAACAAACAACCCTTTAATTATTTTAAATACGAACACACAGGCACTCCACACTCCATCCCTATACCTTCTCCTTAGTGAAGACCTCATACAGGGATGGTAAGGCACACAGACAGGTGAGGAGACACTTTCTAGGAGAGAATTAATTGATCTCCAGTGAGAGACAGAAGTGACTTCTTTTTGAAGCCTCCTAGTAAGTTATATTGAACAAGGCACTGGTGAGAAATTTTGAATCTAGTCCTCAAGTCCCCATCTACCCTTCTGAAGGATCTTAAGATATAAACACAGAACACATTGTTTGATATACCCTGAAGGTGAGACATGCCATATCCACACAAATACAAAAATTTTTAAAATTCTGAGAATGCCTAATTTGCCCTGTTGTTCAGAATTAAACCATTTGTGGCAGCCTTGGCCCTCTTTAAATTCAGTCATTTCCCTTCTATTCTCTGTACAATAGTACTGTTTATTTCTCTCCAAAACCTTCCATTCAAACCCTACATTATACTTCAGGATTGTCATTGTACTAGTGTCATATTCCCCAGACACCAATCAGGAAAGGTTGAAATGCCTCAAAAAGTGATTGCATAATTACCATGAATTTTCTACATGGAGTAACCTGAAGTTCTCACATTTTCCCAGAGACAAAACCTGGCTAATGAGCTAACTCACTTTGCTTTGTGGAGAAATCCTAACCTTCTTTCTGGCAGAAATGATCTCCACCCTTGGGAAGAAATATTGTGTGCAAACATAGCTAAGTAGTTTCTCCTTCCTCCTCTTCTTTCCCATCTTCTTGAAGGCTGTATCTTCCTGCACTCTTCTGTAGGATTTTAGACTTGTCCCCTGAAGGTAAGATAAAGTCTTTGTTTATAGTGACAAATCATAGTGTTCAAAGTCTAATGGTAAGAGAAGTGGCATATCATAAACTTTGACAACAGGTCAAGGACTTTCAGAAAATGAAGTGGTGAGAAGCTCCCTGCTCTCTCCTTGCTTAGGCTTCTCCCCAGTCAAGTAGGGTAGTCACTGGAGGGGCACGCTATTAATAAGGATTACTATAGTGCTCTATCTGGAGGAATAACACACAAGGAATTGGGATAGACAAAAAGGAATAACCCCAAGAATACCCATTTTGATATCTTTAAAAAACAAGGACAGATCAATTGTCCAATACCAAAAATAGAAGTGCCAAAGTTTCAATAAGAGATTGTGAGAAATCCTAATTTTTTTGAAACCTAGTAATAAAGAATACCTTTCCTTGTGGATTTTTTTTTTTGAGCAGCTTTCCACTTTTTCCAGAACCCACGAGAAAAACAGAATTGGAAAGCAAGACACTTTTGCAGCACTACTGAAACAAACAAAAAAAAGTTTTATTTTGGAAATACAGTCTTTAAAGATAAATTTGGCTTCCATTTTTCCATGTCTAGGTGCATCCGACAAGATACAAAAACAAAGAGAAGGACAAAACAAAGACCCACGACATTATGTACAGAGCTCTAAAATGAGCTGTGAATATCTACAAGAAACTAGCGTATGCTCTTTGTGAAGGGGTGTCGTGTGTGGCTTTCTATATAGTTCTCAGTCCTTCGGAAGAACAGTTAACTTCCTGGAGCTGCAGGTGCAGCTGCAGCAAGGGAAGAGCAGGGGGGTCAAAGAAGGGGGTAAGTGTGTGGGGAGGGGTGGGACCCTCGGTGGGAGACGTGGAGGGGACTCTGGGGAGGGAGCAGCGGCAGTGGACAGATCCTGGGCTTCTCTAGAAGTCCTGCCGCGGGGTGTGAGTCAGGCTGTGCCGCCGCAGATCACAGTTTCGCCTGAACACTTTGCCGCACTGCTCGCAGCTGTAGGGCTTGATGTCTGTATGGGTGAGAAGGTGAGTTTTCAGATTACTTCTCTGATTAAAGGTTCTTCCACATGTGGGACATTTGTGTGGAGATTCCTGTTCAGATGTGAAGCAAGCAAAGGATTAATCCTCCACACCACCACTGCACCCTCTCAATAGTTTCTGTCTTATCGCAAGCCTTAACATAATAAGCTGCAGGACAACAGAAGAGGGGACTTGCAGGAACAAATCTGCGCTCCTAATCCTCCAATCTCGAAAACACACGTGCAGGCACACACAGAGGCCGATTACACTGATAACTGCAGAGGCAGACCCGCGGCCACCGCGGCGGGCTTTGTGACTTCCAGCTCTTCACATTTCATCACCATGTCATAGGCAGGAAAAGGGGGAAGGAAAAACTCTAATCCTCTCTTAAGGAGTGACATTCTCCCGGGTAATAAGGCTCCTCTTTGCTGGAAAATTAAACTATTCCTCAATGTTCTGAAAGCTACAAATTATGAGGCCCCTGGGAAAGACAGCGTATGGGATTTCACCATGCCTCCATTATCAAAATTACCTTTATTTCCTCCCAAATGCGAGAGCTTTAAACGCAGGGCAGATCGGATGAAAAAATATATATAATTCTAAAATTAGGGTTTACTATAAATAGAGCCGCTTGTTCTTTAAGCAAAATATAAAATTTGATGTTAAGTAATATTAATTTTATGTATTAAAAAATCAAGAATGCTGCTCTTCCCTATCTAGACTACTACCTAAATAGAGCCCTTAAGAGACAAAACCTGCCTTGAACGCCTTTTTGTAATGCAATGATGATTTTTTTTAAAACCACTGTTGTTAAATAAGAAAACAAACTTACCTGCATATGTAAAGTTTTGTGAACTGCTAGAGTTCTAGACTGACAAAATCCTTTCCCACACTCCTGACATTTGAAGGGTTTTTCTTTGGAATGGATATACCTGAAAATCAATATAAGCTTTCATTGAAATGCATTACCCCCGTGGTTAAGGAGTTTCGACAATTACTCAAGCGAAGTCGTGGAAGGACAAAGGAAACAAAATTTCTATTATTTATGTTTTTAGATTTTTTTTCCTGTGTAATTCTGTTTATGGTTAACCTCAACTAACTGACTCTTCAAAACATTCACCCGCCGGCTGGTTTTACCTACACTTGACCGCCCTCTCTGGCGTATTCTAGAGCTCGAAATCGCGAGGAATGAGCCGTTCCCGGCCTCCAAGGTTTTCTCTGGGATTTAACTATCAGAGAAATCTGGGTGTAAGGCAAGGCCGAGTGTGTGTGTGTGTTGGGGGGGGGGGGAGGGGAAGAAATACATCATTTTAGCGAATTTCCTAAGCGCCTCAGGAGGATGAGCACAAAAGTCCCACCTCGGGGCCTCGCAGGTAGATTCCGGAGAAGGCACCTTCACCCCCCCACCTCTGGGAAGTTTTTAACCTACGAAAACCCTTACGTTACAGTATTTCTTCAATTGTCCTTTATTAATGCAGAGTTTAAGGAGGGGAGGTGAAAGCTGTTTTTAAATTCAGTGACCTCAAGACCCCTGAAAATGCAACTTCGAAGGGTCCCTGTGGCAGGTTCAAGGGCACGGCTAGGGAGGGGAGGTAGGAGGAGAGAGCGAACCCAGTAGAAGTGGCCCAAACAGGTATCCAAAAACGATCCGATGGCGGCTAAGACCTGCACCCATAGACTCATCGTGAGAAGGATTCTGGGATCCCTTGGCTATTCCTGCACCCACTCCCCAGGGCAACCGGCCGGGAGGAAATACGACAACCGATTCCAAGGCCAAGGCCAACCCACCAGATTTTTGCTGCCCAAGGATAGGGAAGAGGCCCTTGCTCATTCCAAAGAAGAACGCAGTAGAGGCAGCTGCGTAAGTGTTTGGAGGTTCGCTGAAGCCGGTTGGGGTGGGGGGCTGCGGGTTATTTTTAAGAGGTTTACTCTAGATCCGAGGAGATTTTTGTGACACTTGGAACATCTATCAGGGCTAGTCATGGATAAATTCACCTTCCCTCTCCCTGCCAACCTCCTTCCCGACCTCACCTATGATCCCGCAGGTGATCTTGCCTTCGGAAGGCCTTGTGGCAGATATCACACGTGTATGGCCTCTCATCGGTGTGGGTCCTTTCGTGGATGAGCAAATTGTAGGATTTGGTAAAGTGTCTGCCGCAAAACTTGCAGATAAACTCTTTTTTCGTTTTGGAGGGTAACCTCCCTCGGGAAGGCTTTCTGTCTGGAGTCAATTTACTGAGGCCCGAGATGGGGCTACCCAACCCCGGGCCCAGCTTGGTCAGGTCTCCCATCTTAGGGGGATCCTCTTGCGTGGCGGCCACCGCCAAGTTGGCAAAGTCAAAACGGGGCCGGTCCTTGTGCAGGGCTGGGAGGACGTGGGCAATGGCCCCCTGTTTGGGGTGGAATAGGTGAGTGGTAAATGGCAACGCCGGGAACGGGAAGCGCGCGTCCACGAGGCCCTGCGCCGCCGCCATCTCGGTGATGGTGGAGCGGGTGATCTCGTGCACGTTGGGGTACCCCAGCGTCCAGTGGTTCATATGCATTGTCTGCACAGCGCTGAGACCATACAGGCCCTGCAAGTGGTCCACCGCGGCCGGGAAGGTGTTCACGGCCTGTAGGAAGGAGTAATTGGTGAGCTGCAGCGATGGATGGAGAGGAATGGGCGCTGGCAGGGCCTTGCTCCCCATTTTCTTGGATGCTGAGGGGCGTAGTGAGCCGTCCTTTTCTTCCAGGACTCAGAGGAGGGTGGGCGTAGGGCTCTGGCAAAACCCGGGGAACAACAGCACGCAGATAAAGTCCTAAAAAATAGCAGGGGGAGAGAAAGAAAAGTGATTATCATCCAAGTCAGCTTTCTCTGCCCTGTGGCACCCACACGGGTTACCACCTTTGCCTTTGCCTTCCATGATCCCTTCCCACTCTTCTCCAAGACCCCCAAAAGAAGCCACGTGAGTACGACGTAGCACCTGTCCAGCGATTCCGCACGGAGACTGGTTGGTTCCAGGGCCAGGGCAGGAAGTGACCCCTGGCGAACCCGGCGCCCCGCAGCCCTGCAGGGCGCCGCTAGGAAGATATGATTCCGGGCAGGCACGCGGCGAAACACTGCTGTACAGGGAGAAAGGGAGGCTAGGCAAGCAGAGGGTTCCCGTGCGAGCAGTACCCCTCCTCACCCACCCACCCTCTCCAGCTCAGTCAACAGCAATGGTCCGCAACGCCAACGCCTGCAGGCCCGGGGCGAGCAGCTGCCCCGCGGCGCCCCCCGAGCTCCCTGGAGGACGGGTTGTGTGTTTGACCCGAGGCTCGAGGGCCTGACTGTGCCGGGTGCGGCGACTCCTCGCGCTGCGCCCCACGCAGGCCGACTTTCCCGCGTTTATCGGGAGGGAAGCTGGGGGCACGCTTGGTCCTCCTGGGCTGGTGAGCCCTCCGAGGGCTCCTTGCGCCCGGCGCTGACCTCGGAGGTTTTCTTTTTCCTTCTTCTGGGCCTTAGTCCCATTTATCAGCAGTGACGGGCCGCAGGAAAGAAAAGTGACACCTCGGGGGCTGAGTTCGGCCGGGAATTACCCCCTCCTCCTTCCCAGAGGCAGCCTCTCCTTCCACCCCCCACCAAGATCCCTTCCAGATGGTCCAGACAGGGGGAGGGGGAACGGATCGTCCCTGAGGCCGAAACCCCTTTTTCCAGACTGAGTCCCAAGCTCTCAAGAGGCAAGAGGCTTCGTGGTCTGCCAGGAGGAGCGGCCCCTACACCAGGGAGGCCCCAGGAGAGCAAAAAAAAGACTCGCGGAGAGGCAAGGGAAGGAGCTGCGGGATCTGCCGCATCAGGCCGGGTACAGCGAGGATCTGCACACCCGTGGTTGGTGCACGGTCGTGCTCCTGCCACCTGGAAGGTCGGCCTGGGTCTGCGTCCTGGGCCTAAACTGGGAGTTCCCTGTTGTTTGTGCTTCCAATGGCAACCCAGAGGTCTGATTTCAGGCCCAGGTTCTCAAGAGCACCTCACCTGCATTCACGATGGGCCCACCGTCTCCCACTACCAACCCCTTTTTAGAAGCGGGTCTGTCAGCTCCGGCGGTGACCTCCCAGGTGCGGGACTCAGAGCTAAGCGCTTTCCCCCAAAGAGGGGCAGGCTAGCCAGTTTGCATCACTAACTGCCAAACCTGGGATTTCAACCCAACAGGAAGGTGAGAGAGCCGGGCCAGCCTTCCGTGCCCACCTACCCCTTTGTACACCTGAATTTTCTTCTCTAGTGGATTGTGAAGTGGAGCCTGAGACTCTATCTGCCGGCAGACTTTGGGGGCTGCGCTAGTGACAGCGCCCTGGCAAGGCAGAATCTGGCTGCCTCTGTGGGGCCCACACCTTCCTCCGCTGTTTGGAACAGCTTGGAGACAGAGATTTATTAATGAACCGCTTCTGCTTGGTGGTATGCGGTCTGGGAGTTCAGGCTGGGAGTTAATGAGAGGTGTGTAACAGTCGGAGGGGCTCAGGCAGACCATTCAACCGAAACTGTAAACCCCCAGTAGTAATAAACTTTCCCACAAATCACTATTCACTTTTGTTCAGCCGCAACCCTCAAACCCTCTCCTCCGGAGTTAGAAAAAAAAGCATCTACTAACATCCCTGGTAATCTTTCTGATTATTTCCCCTTCAATTAAAAATAATAAATCTCATCTTTACTTCCTTCTCCTGAGGTAACGAGGATTTTCCAGAGATTCAAAATATTTCCCCCTAGTGTTGAAAAGCAGCCTCTCCTCCATAGAAAGGAAACCGAAATTAGTATTTGGGTGTATTCCCAGACTAGATTTCTTAGAAATAAATACAAGAGGCAAGCACAACTACACAAGGGGGAGGGGGGGAAGAAAGAGGTACCTTTGATTGCAGATGTACCAAGTGAACTTTGCCATAAAAGTTACCACATTAGATCTGTTGGGCCGAAAGCTGAATGCCCTCTTCCTTCCCTTTTCTCCAAATAGTTTCTAACACAGAAACTAATGATTCTATTATAACTCAGCTTCATGTTGACACAAAAGTGTTACTTCATAGTATGTGTTTGAATTTGCAGAGCAGGTAGTTTCTTCAAAGATGAAGAGCAAACCATTGGTGCCTTCTACAACCCTTTTACAAACAGATCAATCCTAAATATCCATCAAACATTGTTGCCATAAATAATTAGGGAGTTTAGATTTGCATGCTCCTGTTGAGTTGCTGGAGATGTATGTCAATGTTTTAAAAGTACTTTCGGTTTGTCTATAGCAGAGCTCACACTCCGTTTCAGGCTGTAACAGCGATTGTCCGCTGTCATTTCCCACCATCCTGTTTCAGACCATTGGTTACTTTAAATTTTTGCAAGGACAGAAAGTTGAGCCACAAAAAGAACTAAGCTACTTTTCTCACCAGTCTTCTTCATAGGAATTTCTGGGCATGTACAGAAGTTTTGTAAAAATTTAGTTAACTGTCAGCAAGGGAGATGTGAACATATTAATTTCAGTTCTGTGAAGTTTTCAAAACATTGGCGAAGAAAAGGTAAGTGGTAATTTGATAAGGAGTCTCGCTTTTGGTAATGGTGTTATTGCACTGAATTATCTAAAAATAATATAGCTAAGGGTCATCTGCTAAAACCTGTGCATTGGTATCTGAGAGAAATGGCTGATGGGCTCACTGAATTTCAGCTCAAACCAGAACAGAATTTTATATAAATCAGAGAGCTATAGTCAAAAGAGATCTAAGATCATATATTTAAAAAAAAAAAAAGCCGACTTGATCAGGTGAACAGAAAAAAGGGGCCGCGGAATTCCTGTCCCTTCCCAGCGCCTCTGCCTTCCCAAGGAGTTAATTAAATTAAGATGCCTTCTACATAATCTGGGTTCTGTTTCTCTCTGCATTCTCGCTCCCCCAGCGTAATTTTCTTGTGCTTCTCAGGACTGCGTTTGTTTAGCAGAGAAAGTAGCTGTCGGTGCCCTTTCGCTCCAGGAAACGCCAGCCCTCTTTTGTTCTCTGCTAACAGGTAGGGTGACTGATCCAACTCTGTCCCCCTCAAACACCTTTTCCTCCCTCGTTCCACTGCAACTCCTTTCTCTGTTATTTCTCGAGAATCCAAGCGTTTAAGCCCCCGGGGAGTTTGGTTGCAGCCCTCTCCCCAACGGCTGCAGTGGGAGGAAAATAAAAAGGTCAACACGAGGTTGGAGAAATACCTAGGACTGAACTATTCCCTCTTGAAATTCGCCTTTAGAGTCGCTGGCCGGGCAGGCACTGTGTGTCCAGGCCCTAGAGCTGCGGTGCCGCGGCTGCCCCAGGACAGGTCCACCCAGGCTTTCTGGGGCAGGGACAGAAACATCAAGGGGTTGTGCGGTTTGATCCCAGCGTACGTCGATTCGCTTTTATAAGAAATCTTGCCGAATGCTTAAATTTCCCAAAACACAAAAGTATGTATGCAGTTGGGGGTGAGCTAGGAGTCGCGTGCCGAGGATCCAAAGGAAGTGAGAAACAACGCCCCAGGGTTTCATCCGCAGGAGTCCTTTTCACACTATCTGCACGCAAGACCGAGAATCTGAGCACCTCCTGCACCCCCAAACCTTTCCTTCCTTCGGGTGGCCACAGTCCCTTCCCCGAGCGGACACTCACCTCTAGCAAAAAGGTTTGCCTGGGCAGCGCCGCTCAGACCACGTCCAGGCAGGCAGACGCACAGTTTGGGAAGGTCATTAGGTCCAAGCTGGGCAAACTTCTGGCTCGGCGCGGAGTCCCAGGAGCCGCGGACATGATCCGGAGGATCGCAAGGAGAGAAAGCGAGGGAGGATCCCAGTTTTCGTCGAGTCTGGGGCCGCGGAAAGTGTAAAGACCGGAGTGTTGCGGACGCACACTCAGCGCTCGCCCAGATCCCCGCGCTGCGGCAAGCCTCTGGCCGCCGACTGCGGGTGAAGTCGGAGCCCGCAGCCTCGCAGGGCCATCACCCTCCGGCAGCGAGCGCGCCGAGCTCCGTACCCGCCCGCGTCCCTCCCCAGGCTGCCCAGGGCCGGGAGTCGTGGGCTTTAGTAGCGGCCCCGCCTCCCCTCCGGGCGGGCGTCCCGCCGCAGCGCGGGGCCCGCGGCATCCAGGCTCCGCCTCCGCGCCCGGCTCCCGCTAATGGTCCACTCTGTTTACTTGTGTTTGGATAGCAACTGAGTCTTAAAGGCGCAGGTTTGCTCGCGGTTTCTGTGTTACAGAGACACAGAGCCCAAGGTGACTCAACTCAAAAACTCACACAAAGACAACGCCCACCCCCTTTCTTCTGGGTGCCACTTTTCCTTGTACTGTTAGAAACTCAACGATGAGTTAGTTCTCTGCTTTTCAGATTCCGCAGAGAAGCCCAAAGGGCACTTTGTACTTTTACTTGGTATGCTCTCCGGCTTAGTTTTCACATCTTAACACGTTTAACACAATCATCTTCTTCAAAGGGTAAAACCAATCTAGATTTTGTTTTCCAACATATATCACTCTCCCCCTATTTAAAATAGTTTTGTACATTCTTTTGGTCTATTATGACTATATGTGTAGTCTGCTTTCCTCTGCTGTTTTCAAAATGAAGTTTGTTTACAGAGGTGACAATTGACTAATTTCGTAATTACTGCAAAGACATGTGGAATGTTCCTGGAGAAATTTCTTCCAATATCTAAGCTTTAATCAGCTAATGTACATTTCATACGCAGCTAACCAACGTGGTTAAGGAGTGACCATCTGTAACCCATTGGCAAACAATAAAGAATCCATCTGGAATGGGTGAAGAACAATCATTTTAAAATTTTAGGGAAATACTATTCTAGCTTCTCAAAACATAATGTATTATCTTCATTTTGGCAAAAATTGAGTTCATTGTTCAGTCGCCAGGAAAAGTAATCGAATTTGACATGCAACGATACATTTTTTCAAGTTCTTCTAAAGGTTTAACCTTGTGTGAGTGTAAATGCAGAACGCACTTCAGCCACCCTGGAGTAGGGTGACCGAGTAACAGAAAAAGAATGACACAGATTCATTTTAAACAACTTCTTTTCAGCTGAGATCCGCCTGAGCAAAACTAAGCAAAAACGTCCTTCGTCCCAGACGAGTCACCGGAGGAGATTCGCATCGGCCCACAGCAAGCGCACGCTTTGAGGAGTTTAGATGTTCTAAGAAGCTGTACAATCCAGAAGTGTTCCGCCAAAAGATGCATTCGGAGCAACCTCCTCGGAGAACAATTAAAATAACCTCAACTGTGCGGGGAGGTGGATAAATACAAGCAAAAGGCTAAAGCCATCAAATGGAGAGCCAGGCAGAAGCGACAAGACATTATTTTATGAAGATAAAACCTTTCTGTTTTATTTATGCCGAGGTGGACAGAAATTTTCGTTTCTTTGGTATAATATACTTCAGGAATAGGAGATCTTCTCCCTTCCCTTCTTACCATTTTTAGGTTTGCAAAGATTAAAACATGAATCTGGAACACAGACCCGAGTGTTTAGAATCCTGCAAGTACTTAACTGCTTAAAAGTAAATTTGACAAACAGCCTGAAGTAGCAGAATGCCTAAGAGTTGGGGGGTGTTTAAAAGCAAAAACGTTTTCTCTAGTGGGTTATTAGGGGTGCTTTCATTTTAGCGCTCAGTCCTGAGCCTCAGCTGCGGGAACGCCTGCGGTCCCTACTCCAACCGCCTCATTCCTTCCGCAGCTTTTCTCAATTTGGGGATTTGAAAGGGACTTTCTCTTCTTTCAGACCCCCCTAGGACACACACCACAAGGGGTGGTGACCTGAAGTTTGATCCTATGCTTCATAGTTCCTTTTCACCAAAGTAGAGGCAACTCCCCAGCGTCGGGCTTCGCACCTTTCCTGTCCTGAGTGTGTGTACATTGCGTGCGGAACCGCCTGCTTTTCCCGCGGGGTAGACAGAATTTCCAGCCACCCATGAGCTGCGCGCTCTTTCCGCAAACCTCCAGGGCCAGGGTTTTTCCATAAACGTGTTTACCTCTCCCACCCCAGCCTCCCAAGTTCCAAAATGGAGTCTGGGCCAACCCGGCCCGAGCGTTGCGATCGCTTGAAAGGTAGAGAAGAATCGGCGAGCTCCAGCCTTTGGGAGGAGGCGGCGTGGCCCGGCAGCGTCTCCGCAGCCTCCTGGTCCTGCAATTGCAGGCAGGTGCGCACTCGGCGCGGGGAGCAAATCTGAAACTGAACGCAACACTGCACATCGGCCTCCCCCAGGCCACCAAAGCGCCCACCTGGAACCGGCCCTAGAGTTTCTTCGCGCTGGGAACCCGCGAGCCCCACGCCCCGGCTGGCGTGTAAAGCGCACACATTGCGGAGGCCCCCCTGCTAGCAGCTCACCCTCCGCACTCTCCCAGCGCAGAAAACAGGCCACCCGGCCCACTAACGCGCTGTGGGGTCCGGGTGTGTGGAAAGGGAAGTCCCCGAGCCAGCAGCAGCCCAGCTGCGCCCCCAGCTCTGAGTCTTGGCTGAGCTGTCCCACTCCGTCCGCTCCCTCTGAGGCTGAGCTGCGGGCTCACGCTGAAATTTCCGCCGATCCGGTTGTCTGCTGTCCTTACGGCTCTGAGCTTTCGACACCAAGGGCGCTTCCACGCAAATAGCTAACAGACTGACCCGGGGCGCGTGAGCAGTTGCTGCCCGAACCCCAACAGCATTAAGTTTACGCCCCCGGAGGCGGAGGAGGTGGAAGAGGAGGGGGCACGCAGCGCAAGCCCCTTCCTCCCCACCCCACCATCGGCCCACCCAGGAGGTTCTGGCAATGGAGCAGCGAGCAGGTGTCAAACAGACGTCCCTGGAGTTGACTCTGATCCTGTCTCCCTTTGACCGCGCGCTGCGGACATCCTAAAAACGTTTACCTTTTAAAAAACAAATTATGAACCTTGTCTTCTTCCTGGGATCCCAGCTGCCACTCCTTCTGAGGACTCTCTTCCCTGCTCCCAGCTTTCCTTAGCTTTCTCCTGCTTCTGCGGGGCGGAGACCTTTTGCATTTGAACTTCCCGCACTGTTTGCTGGCTCTTTTTTTTTTTTTTTTTTGTCGGAGCTTTGGAGGAGTTGGGAACCCAGCTTTGCTTGTAGTGTGTGCGCTCCAATCCTGGGGTAGTGAGGAGGCCAGGGGAGCACAGAGGAGGATTGCATGCATTTGACTTGGAGGCTATGGACCTAAGGGCCGAAATACCACGAATTTGATTTTTGAGGAAGCGCCTCCGAGTCCGCGCTCCAAACTCGGAGTGGGAAAGCGCAGCCGCGGGCTGTAGCTCAGCCGCCGGCAGGAAGGGCCGCAGCGCCCCCTGGAGGCGCAGACCGAGCACATCGTGGCTTCGTGGGTTCCCGGGTGTGAGTGCGTGGCCGCCAGCGACCCCGCGGGCAGCTTGGTTCCCTTCATCTGGATCCGCGCACCCTTCCAGCTGCGGAAGAGTGGTTTATGCAGCAGACGTCCTGGGGAGAGGTCCTGGGGAGAGGGCCTGGGGTAGTGTCAATAAGCCATTCTACTTCAACCACTGGGCTCTTTGTGGGGATCTCCCACGTAGCGGCCCCCTGCGAAGTTTCTCCTAGCGAGTTTATAACGTGAATTTTCAGATTTTCGACACCGCTCCTGGCTTCCCAGACTTCTTCAGGGCAAGGAAAAGACACCCGTTTAAACCCCAGCATAAGGAGTTTGCTGGTCAGCTCAGATTCTAGTAAGTTCCAAGACTTGGGACGCTGTCCCGCGGGGGTTGCAAGAGGGAGAGCTCATTTGGAAAGGCTGTTCCACGCCCCCCACCGCAAGTCCACCCCAGCGACATCGTAACATCCAAGCATTTGAAGCCTGGTGGAATATGGATTCCTGGGCGAGTTGCATTCTCCTGAAGGATGAGAACTGGAACAATCGCGTCTCGAGGTGCAAGTGTTTGCGCTGGAGGCTGGGGAGCCCGAGGACCGCACCCTCTCCAGGCGTCCAGTCCTCTACTCTAGCCAGCCCGGGCGCCCCAGGTTCAGCCTTTCCCATCGACTCTTCCAAGGGAGAGGATGAAGAGGGCGTGTTGGGCCCAAGGACACTCTCCACGTGCCTGCGCCACTGGCTCAGCTTCATTCCGCGGGAGGCCTTGGCGCACACACTTCCCGCTACCAGCTTGCGGGGCACCAAGCCACCAGGAAGGGGGAGTTGTGTGGGGAGGACCAACAGTGGTTCGCAGGGAAAGTACTTGCTCAAGCCTTCCCAGATCCTTCCAGAGCCCAGATCATTCCCAGAGCCCAGATCCAGTATATGTTTGGGTTTTCCAAGCGAAGCTCTTGTTCGTGGCAGCAGCAAAACCCAGAGCTGACTCAAAGTCGCCCCAGCGATCTGTCAGCCTCTCACAATTCGCAAGGTGCCGCCAGGGCCTTTGAGGATGAGAGTGGTCAGGGCACATTCCTGTTGCCTGGAGTCCCGACAGATCTCAGGGGGCAGGAGCCCGCAGAGCCGTTAGCTGGCTCCCGCACATGCTGGGCGTGTTTCCACTCGGCTACCCCATGGCCAGGGCAGCACACTGTCCCGCAGGGTGCGAAGGGACAGAGCTTTCTCCTTGCCCCCCAGGGAGGCGGATCTCCTGCAGTTTCCCTAGCCAGAGAGAAACAGGTCAACTACTAAGCTCCAGCGCACCAAGACAGCTTTCTAACACATTCCTTCAGTGTCACAAGGAAGACCAGTTGATGGAGGGCAAGACCCAGGCGCAACCCAGGAGGGAGGGCTCAGTGGATGGTGTCCCTCTTGTGGGACTCTGAAAAGACCATCTTCAGGAAAGACCAGGGTCTGTAAAACCGCGTTGGACATGTGTGTTTGCGTGTGGGTTTCAATCACGTATGTGTGCGTGTGTTTTAACGTACTTGCTAATGCTCTGAAACAATGGGAAAATACGAACGGAAATCTTGATTTCCAGTGAGCTCTATTCCTCCTGGCCGGAGCTGAGCAGCTCTGCTCTCCTGACTCACTTTCTATTTTTTAAATGCTGAACCGAAGATTGCCTTGGAATTTCCAATTCTCTCCGCAGACGTAAGGATCAGCCCGTAGTTACCCTGTGGAGCAGCGGTTCTCAAAG